TAAGAGGGTAATGGATAGACACACACAAAACAAGAGATTAGATATGACTCCAAAAACATAAAATGAGGGAGGAGGGGAGTAAAAGAGTAGAGCTTTTAGAAAGAGGTCAGCTAAAGAGACTATCAACTCAATATAAATTGCTATATACATAAAATATTATATAGGAACCTCATGGTAATCACAAACCAGAAACCTATAATAAGTAAACAAATAAGTAAGAGGAAAGAAATCAATCAAACATATTACTAACAAAAGCAATCAAACCACAAGAGAAGAGAGCAAGAGAAGAAGAAAGGAACAGAGAAGAACTACTAAAACACCCAGATAAAAAAGGAACAAAATGGCAATAAATACATAGTTATCTATAGCTACTTTAAAAGTCAATGGACTGGGGCTGGCCCTGTGGCCGAGTGGTTAAGTTCACGTGCTCTGCTGCGGCGGCCCAGGGTTTCACTGGTTCGGGTCCTGGGCACGGACATGGCACTGCCTGTCAGGTCACGTTGAGGCGGCGTCCCACCTGCCACAACTAGAAGGACCCACAACTAAAATATACAACTATGTACTGGGGGGGTTGGGGGAGAAAAAGCAGGAAAAATGAAAAGAATACAATCCCATTTACAATTGCAACAAAAAGAATACAGTATCTAGGAATAAACTTAACCAAAGAGGTGAAAGATCTGTACACCAAAAACTATAAAACATTGTTGACAGAAATTGAAGAAGACACAAAGAAATGGAAAGATATTCCATGCTCTTGGATTGGAAGAATCAACATCGTTAAAATGTCCATACTTCCTAAAGCGATCTACAGATACAATGCAATTGCTATCAAAGTTCCAACAACATTTTTCACAGAAATAGAACAAAGAATCCTAAAATTTATATGGGACAACAAAAGATCCTGAATAGCCAAAGGAATCCTGAGGAAAAAGAACAAAGCTGGAGGTATCACACTCCCTGATTTCAAAATAGACTACAAAGCTATAGTAACCAAAACAGCATGGTAGTGGCACAAAAGTAGACAAAGTGATCAATGGAACAGAATCAAGAGCCCAGAAGTAAACCCACACATTTATGGACAGCTAATTTTCAACAAGGGAGCCAAGAGCATACAAGGGAGAAAGGAGAGTCTCTTCAACAAATGGTGTTGGGAAACTGGACAGCCACATGCAAAAGATTGAATGTAGACCATTATCTTACACCATACACAAAAATTAACCTAAAATGGATTAAAAACTTGAATGTGAGACTGGAAACCATGAAACTACTAGAAGAAAACATAGGCAGTATGCCCTCTGACATCGGTCTTAGCAGCATATTTTCAAGTACCATGACCGGGCAAGGGAAACAAAAGAAAAAATGAACAAATGGGACTACATCAAATTAAAAACATTCTGCACAGCAAAGGAAACCATCAACAAGACGAAAAGACAGCCTAACAATTGGGAGAAGATATTTGCAAACCATATATCTGATAAGGGATTTAATATCCAAAATATACAAAGAATTCATACATCTCAACAACAAAAAAACCAACAACCCAATTTAAAAATGGACAAAATATCTGAACAGAGATTTCTCCAAAGAAGATATACTGACGGCCAACAGGCTCATGAAAAGATGTTCAACATCATTTGCTATCAGGGAAATGCAAATCAAAACTACAATGAGATATCACCTCATTCCAGTCAGAATGGCTATAATTAACAAGACAGGAAACAACAAGTGTTGGAGACGATGTGGAGAGAACGGAACCCTTGTACACTGCTGGTGGGAGTGCAAACTGGTGCAGCCACTATGGAAAGGAGTATGGACTATTCTCAGAAAATCAAGAACAGATCTACCATATGATCCAGCTATTCCACTACTGGGTATTTATCCAAAGAACTTGAAAACACAAATCCATAGAGATACATCCCTATGTTCATTTCAGCATTATTCGCAATAGCCAAGACTTGGAAGCAACCTGGTGCCCATTAAGGGATGAGTGGATAAAGAAGATGTGGAATACTACTCAGTCATAAGAAAAGATGACATCCGGCCATTTGTGACAAGGATGGACCTTGAGGGTATTATGCTAAGAGAAATACGTCTGAGGGAGAAAGTCAAATACCATATGATCTCACTCACAAGTAGAAGATAAAAACAATAACAAACAAACACATAGAAATAGAGATTGGCTTGGTGGTTACCAGAGGGGAAGAGGGGAGGGGGGAGGGCAAAAGGGGTGATTAGGTGCATGTGTGTGGTGATGGATTGTAATTAGTCCTTGGGTGGAGAACATGATGTAATCTACACAGAATTTGAAAAATATTACAATGTACACCCGAAAGATATATAATGTTATAATCCAATGTTACTGTAATAAAAATTTTTTTAATTAATTAATTAAAAAAAGATTTGAGTCACTAAGATTCAGTACCTCAACCTGCAAACATTGGTTAGACACATGGTGATTTGTACCAGCAGGAGGCCTTTCTCTTTAACGTGTGTTTAGCCACAAAGGAACATTTGATGGAAAGAGTAATGAATTTCCATTAATTCAGTTAATCTTGATTACTTCCTCTGCCCCGTCCCCTTCTCTCTTTCTCTCTCTTTCTTTTTCTAAATAGGGATTGGCCCTCACCGAAAAAAAAAAATTCAACCAAGCATTACCTCTAGGAAGAGTAAAAGTCAGGAAGGAGTTGGGGTTGGCTCCGTGGCTGAGTGGTTAAGTTTGTGCACTGTGCTTCGGCAGCCCAGGATTTTGCCAGTTCGGATCCTGGGCGTGGACATGGCACCACCCATCAGGCCATGCTGAGACGGCGTCCCACATAGCACAACCGGAAGGACCACAACTACAATATACGACGATGTACTGGGGAGCTTCGGGGAGAAGAAGAAGAAAAAAATAAGATTGGCGACAGATGTTAGCTCAGGTGCCAATCTTTAAAAAAAAAGGTCAGGGAGGGCCTCTGGAATCTAAGGTCTGGAAGTGAATTCATTATCATTATCAACTTTTTGGCAATCTTCACAGTCACAAGGGCATCCAGGAATAAAACTTCAAGCTTCAGGTTTGTTTTCCCTGACAAATGAGAGACAGATTGCCTGTGGAATTTGATTCCAGGGTGCTGGGAACATCCTGTATCTAAATAAATCTACTCCCATCTACTGGTGGTTGCCTGAACTTCCACTCAAAGCTGAATCACACTAAAAAACACAACTTCTAGAAACAGGCAAACCTGGAAACGGGGATTCTAGTTGGAGCCTCTACTGTTATGTGCCCTTGGGCCAATCTCTTTTCCTTCTCTGCATCTCAGTTTCCCCATATTACAATCCAGATGGTTGAATAAAATGACCTGGAAGGGCCCTTCCACTTTTATCAAGCAAGGTTTGTCTCTACAAGGATGCCTGGGTGACCAGGGATGATGGGGGCAGAACTAATAGCAGTAGAGGTGAGTTGGATTGATCCACTCCTGTATGTGATAGCCAGTGATGTATGCGTCCCACTATCCTTTTTAATTTCAGCACCCATGAGGGAAGGAGAGCATTTGCTGCAAGGCCAGGGGAAAGAGGGGCAAAGGGAGAAGGGAAAGGAAGGTGTGAAGGTGCTCTGCTGGTTAGAAGAAGGCAGGGAATTATGACACTTATTTTTTAAAGTTTGATTTTTAAATGGTCAAGAAATGTTGATAAAGAGTTAAACCCTGAGCTGTGGGAAACACTCAGCCAACCAGACAACTGAAGCTTTGCTAGGCACAAGCAGTCCCACTTCACTTCACTGAGGGAAAAGGGAAGCGGGCTGTATTTCTGTGTGAATGTCACAGCTAACCAAGAGGGAACCTGAAATCCGTTTTCATTGCAACCCTTCTCAATGGCATGCCTTAGGAGGTTCAGCTGGTAAACGTGACTGAGGTCTTTTTGTTGATTGCCCTTCTGTCCCCTGGGCTCTCAGGGACCTCTTTGTGATCTTGCTTTGTCATGGATCTGAGATGGGAAGGACAGAGGGATTTAGTAGAGGAATTTCCTTATCCTCTGAGAGCCTTCTGTTTCATAGGACAGTATTTGAGGTAGTGGAAAGAATAAGAGCCCTCTAGTCAAAATTCCAGGCTTTTCCACATGATGGGGCCAGAATGCAGGAGCACCGGAGTGGCCTGCTCTCCAGGAGCTAACTCCCTTGAACATCTGAAACACTGAACTCTGCCTTCTTTCCCATTCTGTGGTGTCAGCCCTGGACCCTCACTTCAACTTTACATGCCCTGGCTATGGGACAGAGTCATATCTCAGGGTGATCTCAGTTAGTGAGCCCTTCCAGTTCCCTGAGTTTTGTCCTGGGGACCCAAACCTGGGGCCAAAAGTACTCTGGGAAATTAAAGTTTTCAAGAAACTCTTGGCCTTCTGAAGCCCACTTTCCATCCTGATGGAGAGGCGCTCGTGCTCTGGCCAGAGCTCTGTTATAAAACCCATTGGCCATCCTCCTTTCCCCACCCAGAGGCAAGGCACGTGGCTTACTGGAGGGTCAAAGGTTTGGGAATGAGCAGCAGTCGAACACCTGCTGATCCCCCAATGTGTCCAGCTCTTTCAGAAAGCAGATTCAGCCATGGCAGTCAAATCACCTCACTCCCTTCACCAGAAAAATACAAACTCTTGGGAACATGCACCTCCAAGAGAAGCGCACATTTTGCATTTTTGCGTGAGAGGAAGAGGAGGACCGACCGGGTGCCCTCAGCTGCGGATCGGTGCAGAGCCCTGCAGCAGCCAGCTCCCCTCCCTCTCCCCTGGTCTGGCCCCGCCCCTGTCTGAGGCTGGCCGGGGGACTGCTGCAGAGGCCTGGAGGGGCGGGGGGCTGGGTTGCGCGCAGTCTGCGGGCGGAGGCAGGAGCGCGCGCCTTTTTGTGCGCCTCCTGGCACCTGCAGGATTGGTTCCGCTGGTGCTGCCGTCGGAGTGGGCGGAGCCCGCTGGGCGCCCGGGGTGCCCAGTCCCATCCTGGAGCGGCTGCAGACGGAGCGCACCTCGCGGCTGACCGGCGTGTCCTAGGGGCGCTGCGTCGGGCAGAGCTGCTGGGGGGCTGCTCCTCCCAGGCTCTGGGCTCTGGTCCGATCTCCGCGCTCTCTGCTCCGCGTACCCTCGCTACTGTCTCCTTAGAGGCAACTTCTAGCGAGCCCCCAGCTCCATTTCACCCCACACTGCCCCCACCCCGTCCCATTCCTCGGCCGTCCGGCCGTCTCTCGCGCCCTCTGGTCCCCGGAGCACCAAGGCCATGGGCATCCGAGGGATGCTTCGAGCTGCCGTGCTCCTGCTGCTCATCAGGACCTGGCTCGCGGAGAGCAACGACCCCAGTTCTACCCCGAAATTCCACTTTGAGCTCTCCTCCACTGTGCCCGAAGTCGTCCTGAACCTCTTCAACTGGTAAGCGGGTGCCCTCAGGCTGGGCATGAAGGCGACAGGGGCGGGCGGGTGGCCTCGGACCTCTTGGACGGAGCGGGCTGGGGGAAACTTGGACCCGGGTTTGCGAACCCTGGCCCCTGGGCCCTGCCTGCGCGTCCCTGGAGGAGGGTGGGGTAGGAGTGAGGGTAGCCGGACTTAGAGCCCTGTGCTTCAGCCCACCTGTTACTGCTGCGCTTGACGGAGCCCGGTGTTGTGCCCAAACTGCAGCCCCAAGGGTAGCGGGGAGGATGCCCTCACCCCAGGGTCTGCCATCCATCCTCAGGTATTAAGGCCCTGGGCAGCTAAGGCCCTGGGCAGCTTTTCCCAGTTACGTCCTTCGGCACCTGTGGGATTGTGGGGGGGAGGGTGTACAAGGTGATGAGCAATTCTCAAAACATAGACAGTAGAGACACCTGTTTAAGTCCGGATTTTAGTCTGTTCCCTGAGGCATGCATGTATATTTGTGCATGTGTGTGTTGAGCAGTGAGGGACCTTTTCTGATGCCGCAGATGGAAATTATGAACTCAACTCTATCGGAGCCCAGACAGTGATAGGTGACTGTGTTACTGTGTGACTGTTTAACCGTGTGGCCTGAGATGGATGTGCTTTTGCACTTACTCCTGTAAAAACATTTGAAGATTCATGGTTCTTTTCTGTGTTTGATTTCAAGTTTGTTTGGGTCTACAAATATCTGAGGAGATGTTAGTCAGTCAGCCTTACATGTATATCACACACAGACGCTGAGCGCTGGCACATGGGTAATGTGTGGTCCTAAACAGGCGGGAATGATTCATGTGCACGCTTTGGAATGATGCAAAATGAAATTTTGTCACTAAAGATTATTGGGAATATTTTTTAATGGCAAATCAGAAATGAACATGTATTCAGAAAAGGGGGGGGGTGGTAGTTGGGCAAGGTTCCAGCAAACAGCTCTGCAATGGCCTCAACCCAACATGCCAGACTGCGCTAGTGAACACACACACACACACACACACACACACACACACACTGAGATTGCAGGGGCTGAAGTTCCCTGGTCATTGCGCCAAAGATCCTAGGAGTCATAGTGATGCCCAGAGCCTGTTCTCATTCACAAGGCCCTTTGGGGGAGAAGAGCTCCGCGAAAGGTCTAGGTGAATGGGGTGAGCACGTCAGAGACTTCTGGAAAGGCCAGATCTCTGCAGGGCTGAGCTGAGTCCACTTACATGTGCTCACCCAAGACACGTCTAGGCTGGAAGCACATGCTTAGCCAGAGAGATGCCTGCTCCCAGAATACATGTCTTTTTGAAGACAGTCCTGAGCCCCAAGAATCTGAAATGGTTTGGTTGGGCAACGGTCATAAATCTCTGCTATGTGAACAAGGCTTTCTCTCTGCGTCATATGCCAAGTCTTAAAAACAGAGATGTACAAAACCAAGGGCATGGCAACAAAATGCCCAGCCCCAACCCAGATCGGGGAAATGTGACTGAGCTGGAGAACATAGACTGGTTGGCTCAGCTCAGGAGGGCACTGAAAGTGAAAAATGACCTTTCCTGGGGCAATCAGGTGCCCCTGGAAGGAGGAGTCCCACCAACCCGGAAAGCTGCTTCCAGGCTGATGGCAAGGTGAGGCTCCTCAGGGAGTTGACGTAATGCATTTATCTGAGGGCTTGTACCTGTCCCCTCTCTCCCCTCTCCACTTCCCCTACAGTTTCCCCTCCTCCCCACCCCCAATCCTGCCTGGTAACAAGGATCCAGTCTTTGTGCCCCACCCTGTGGATAAAGGCTGGGGATGGGAAGGGAGAAAAAGGAGTCTGCGTCACTGCTGCGCTTCTGGCTGACTCACTGTAGGGAGGGAGGGGAGCCGGGAGAGATGCATACATGTATGACTGTACGTGTCTGCGTGTGTGCGGGAGAAGCGACGGCCCTGCCAAGTTGACGTCTGAGGTGCTCTTTGTTGTTTGTTCTCTGAGAAGCAATGTGGCATTTACTGATGACCGGCATTTATTGACGACTTCTCTGTTTCAGCAAAAATTGTGCAAATGAAGCTGTGGTTCACAAGATTTTGGACAGGGTGCTGTCGAGATATGATGCCCGTCTGAGACCAAATTTTGGAGGTAAGACACATCCAGACACTAGAGGCCTTTGTGTTAGGTGGAATAGAGCTGAGACACAACAAGCTAGCCCCACCCAGTAAACTGACCAGTGACTCTCCGCTAGGCTCAACACTTCTGCCTCTCCAGACCCTGCCTTCCTGACCCTGCGCAGACCTGAAGTGGAGCACTCTTAGACTCCCAACCCCCAGGCCTTTTGCTCTGCCCCTGGAATTTCTCCCACTTCTCTGCCTTGTTATGCAAGGGGCCTTCTGCCTTCTTCATGCTCTCTTACAATCCCCTCCACCAGCCTGAAGTGTGCACCCTGGTTTGGCTGGAGAAGTGCAAACCACAGAAATGGGTGTGCAAAACAAAACACACCGTGCTTCTCAGGCTAGAGTTTTCTGCCTCATCTATAGGGAGGGCACATGTTCTTCTTCTTGAGCGCACATTCTTTGCTCCCAGACACTCATCCCATTCAGCTAATTCAAAACTAAGAGCATGGTCTTCTCTGTCTAGTTTATTTCACCCATCCAGGTCCCAGGCACTTCTGCCTCTGCTCCCCCTCCCCAAGCCTTCAACTCCCTCCAAGTTAAGTCCATTCAATGCATTGTAGTCAGCGTGATCTTTATAAATCCAGCCTGACCACCTCAGGAACTTTTGATGGCTTTATTTAAGTGCAAAATAAAATCCAAGCTCCTTAGCGTAACACTCAGATCTCAAGCACAGAGATGAGAAATGGGAAGAAAACTGAAGCACAAACCTCCAGGGAGCCAATACATCAGTTTCTCCATATATTTCTGCCTAGCCTCCCCTCTTGGAAAGGGTGGCTGGCTTCAATCACACAGCTTTAAGAGACAGGCAACCTGCCCAGACCTCACAGAACAGGGCACATCAAGGAAACCTAGACCAAGGACAGACAAAAGAAAGAGTGCATTAAATAGAGGTTAGTCACATTTCAGCTCAAAGGAAACGGAGGAAGAGCTAAAAAGCAGAGTGTCTAAGCCAGAGAAAGTACACTACTTCCTGCAGGTTGTAGAACTCGACACCCACTCTAAAGGGTTAATGAATGTTAATGGTTCACATTTGTACATATGAATAGAGGTCTTCTGAATACACAATGCTTCCACCCCGAAGGGCACACAGCTGTGAGGACTTACCATTGTGGTAGACCAGTGGAGGCACTGTGATTTGCCCAGGAAGCAGCCTTGAAAACCAGAGTGGTCACCCTGGGCCTTAAGCTTTGTTGGCGAGACATTTGACTGGTGTCCCCTTTGCTGTATTGTTCCCTCTGAGTATGAGGGCAGAAGGCGCAGCCCCAGGACCCAAGGTGAGTGTGCACTGAGGACTGGGAAGCTGGAGCAGAGAGCGTAGAAGGCAAGTTCTTTCAATATGGGAATTCAGGTGTTAGGGTACAGCCAGCATTCCATTGCATGACCACAGTTTTCAATCATTTGTACCAAGCACTGGTGCGTGTCAAGGGAGTAGCTACTACATTTTCTCTTTTTCCCCTATCTCATGTTTCTCAGCAAAGGCTGACCAACAGCCATTTAAGTACACCAAGCACGTTCTCCCCACTGTTTCAGGTTGTCATCTCTATCAGCATCCAGGGCCAGGGGAGGGAACAGGGGCAAGTACCAATCTCTGGGTATTGTCAGGTGTGTGTGGTCCACAATATCTCCAAGGCACCTCACTAGCATCTTTTGAGCTAACTCAGATTTGTTTACACCTGATGCCTAACCTCTCGGATTACACTAAGCTTTATGGGCATGCAGACCTGAAGCATATGAGAAAAGATGGGTCCCTGATCTGGCCAAACAGTAAGTGAAAGTGGGAGGGCAAGGACAATGCAGGACTTTTTAGCATTTAGACAGGAGAGGCACTACAGGGCCTAAGTCTGGGGCTGTTGTATGGGGTGGGGGTTGGGGCAATCAGTGGGACAGCTGGGCCAGGGGGTTCTGGATTGGGGGAACCCAGGACTCCCTGTAAGGCCTCCCACTAGACACAGAGTCAAATTCCCCTCTGTGTCTGAGGTGAAGTAGAGTTTCAGGGCTTCACACACATACACACACAGGCACACACACACCCACATGCAGAAGCCTCACCTAACTGTGGTCAGGTTCAAATGGGAGCTTTATTTCTTCCTTGAGAAGAGGAGGAAGATGAAGAAGAGGAGGAGGATCCAGGGAAAGTTAACAAAGCTGCTTCTTTCTAGTCAAGAAAAGTGGGACTCCACATTGTTGCAAAAGGCAGGTCCCTGAGGACTTCCTGCACCTGGCATGACACAGGTGTGGAGTGAAGGAATGAATGGGACATCTTCATCATTCCTTCATTTATCTGTTCTTCTGCTGGTACTCTGATGGATACTAGGGAGGAAGAGGAATTGGGGCAGCAAAATTTCCAAGAGGGAGGGAAGTGGTTACCCCCTCCCTGCCTTCCTGAGCCCCATCAGGAGGGACAGTGATGGGATATGGAGCTGAGGCCATGACTTCAGAGATAGCATTTAGACACTTTATCTGGAAGCTTCTTGCTCCCCTCCCTTATCTTTTCAGGGATGTGGGGTACATTAGCTAAGTTCTCATTCTGACCACCGCTAGCACGTAAGGTGTCCCCTCTAGGCGGGTAAATTAGAAAAAGTTCTCAGGTCCCCTTCCTCCAGGCTTCATCCCTGGGCCAGGATTCATGGCTGCATTTCAGCTCCTACTTGTCCCTTGCACTGGGAGCCCTTGGACAGGGCTGTGCTCTGGCCCTTTAGGGTTTGGGTCCCCAGGATTCCTCTGTAGTGGATGGAGTGGCCTGAGTGGCAAAGAATGGTCTAGGAAGAGAAGTCTGACACTAGAGTGAGGTGGGGGGAACATGGCTGCTTGGCCTCTCTGGAGCTTGTTCCCTGCCGAACACAGCTTTCATCCTCTAAAGGCATGTGGGAAGCCTGAAAGGCTGCAATAAACAACTGTGGTTCTAGAAACCCTTGTCACTACATAGCACTTCGCTGGGGATCATTCACAATTGCACTGAATGCTGGAGACTGGGCTATGCCCTCACACAAAGGCCCATTTACTTCTCAGCTGCCATTTGTATGCTGATTCCCAATAGCACTCTGCTTTTTGAAGCATTGGGATAGGAATAACACGTTTCCGTCTTTGCAGCTCAGCTTCTGGACAATCAGCTTGCGGTGATGGCAGCAGCTGAAATGCAAGTGTCATGCGTGTTTTCATAGCAGCAGTGTGATGTAACACACATAGAATAATGACTTCTCTATGAGGCTTGGTGGAGGCAGCTTTGAGCCAATGAGGAAACAATAAAAATGTATTTTTCCACTGTACCCTATAGTTTACTACATATTTTCACATCCATGATCACATTTGAATGGGCAGTTATAACACCCAGGCCTGAAAAAGAAAATCAGGGGGCAGAAACACACTCAAACACAGACTCACACAATTAGTCACACTCACACTCACTCATACACAAACGCTCTCATACATGAACACACCCACGAATTCACTCACACACATACTTACATAGACTCATATGAACATGCTTAAACATTCACTTTTGCTCACACATTTATACACACATGAACATGCTAGCACATTCACATACACACATGAACATGTTCACACATCCACTCACACACAAACATGCTCACATACACAAACACACTCACACACAAACACATGCACACACTCACACACGTACTTCCATGTTAACATGCTCATTCATTTGCACACATAAATAACTCACATACATTCACTCGCACACACAAAAATACACGTAACCTGATACGCACACACTCACACATGCACATTAACATACTTGCACACAAACAGGCTCGTGTGTTCACTTATGCACAAGCATGCTCATACACATGAATATGCTCATTCACACAAATATGTCCACATATTTACCAACTCACACAAACATGCTCACACATGAACACACATTAACACACATAGACATCCACATTCACACTCTCACACATTACCATGCTCACACATTCACTCATACTTGCACAGTGACATGCAAACACACATGAATATGCTCATGGATTCACTTGCATATCAGTATGGTCACACATTCACTCATACACAAAGACACTCACATACATTCACACATTCAGTCACACACAAACACAGTCACATATACTCACATTCAATCTCACTCACATGGACATGCTCACAGATTCAGTCAAGATCGTGAACATGCTTAGATACACTCACACTTATACACTCAAATGTATGATAAGTATGAGTATATAAGTGTGATCACTTATCACACTTACCACTTGTAAATGAACAAGGTTGCACACACAGACACATTCACATATTGACATGCTCATACATTCACTCACACACAAACATGCTCACATACATGAAAACACACACAAATTCACTCACACACATGAACATACTCACACATTAATGTGCTCATATCCAAACACACTCAGAAATGCACTCACACATAGAGACAAGCTCACAAATACACAGATGCTCACACAGTCACTTGCACATGAACACATTCATACATATGGTTCCACACACCAACATGCCTATATGGTTGTATGTGGTTACACACTTACTCACATGCAATGTATGCAAGCACACAAACATGTTCGTATATTCACTCACATATGAACACACAAATTCACTCATATACACAGACATGCTCACAAACACACATTCATACACATAGGTAAGCTTACAAATACACCCATCCTCAAACATTCCCTTGCACATTAACAAGCTCACATACATTCACAAATAGTCACACATTCACTCACACATAAACATATTCACTTGCACGTTAACACACTCATACATTTACTCCCACACAACATACCTACATATACACATGGTCACACATTTACTCCCACACAACACACTCGAGCACACAAACTTGCTCATGCATTCTCTCACATACGGATATGCTCACATACACTCATGTACACACTGATACATCTACCTGCACATGAACACACTCACAGATTTACTCATACATGTGAACATGCTCACATACCCTCATGCACATAGCTCACACATTCATTCACACAGACACACCTTCACTCACACATGGACACACTCACATGCAGTAACACAAATGTACACACCACAAATCTTAGGTCGTGTATTTTGGGCTCATTGCTCTTGAGTTCTTATCAGGAAAACATTTAGGAAACGAGTGCTTCATCCCCTTATTTTCTCTTTATTTTACCCATGAGGAAACTAAGGCTAAGAGAGGTTAGGTAACTTATTCAAGGTCACACAGCTAGTAAGTGTCAAAATGAGGTTCAAACCCAGGCCGTCTGGCCCTTGAGTCCATGCTCTTATCCTTTTTCCTACCCTGCATATAATAGTGTCTTCCTGTATTACAGGTGCCCCTGTGCCTGTGGGAGTATCTATTTATGTCTCCAGTATTGAAGAAATCTCAGAAATGACTATGGTAAGTGTGTCAGCTCCAGCCATGGGGCTGGGGACAGGGGACATGGGAAAAGGAGCAGGGTCATAAGCCAACTCCAGTTGTTCTGACCTGCAACAGAGCCCACATGGAAGAACACGGTAGGTTTTGGAAACTACAGCCACCTGGAATAAATAAATAAATAAATCCAGATGGATTATAGACCTCAAAGTGAAGGGCTTATGAAGCTTTTAAAAGATAATATAGGATACTGTCTTTGTGTCTTTGTTGTCGGTAAGGACTTCTTTAAAAAGACACAGAAAACACAAACCATAAAAACAAATACTTGAAACTACAACTATATTAAAATTCTGTTTATCTAAACAATTCTGGAACTTATTTTTTGCAAAACAAACAAACAAAACCAGCATAAAAGTGTGAAAGGATAAGTCAGAGTGGACTAAGATATTTGCGTCACAAAGGACTGATGTTGAAGATATCCATAATTCCTGTGAATTAAGAAGAAGAATATTTTAAAAACCAATAGAAAAATGATCAGAAAATTTGAACTGTAACTTCACTTTTGTGAAGAAAATCAAGGGGGCCGGCCCGGTGGTGCAGTGGTTAAGTTCACACATTCCGCTTCTCAGCGGCCCAGGGTTCGCCAGTTTGGATCCCAGGTGTGGACGTGGCAATGCTTAGCACGCCATGCTCTGGCAGGCGTCCCACGTATAAAGTAGAGGAAGATGGGCATGGATGTTAGCTCAGGGCCAGTCTTCCTCAGCAAAAAGAGGAGGATGGGCAGCAGTTAGCTCAGGGCTAATCTTCCTCAAAAAAAGAAAAAAAGAAAAGAAGACCAAGTAGCAGATAAGCATATGAAAAGATGTTTGACTTTATTATTAATCAGTGAAATGCAAAATAAGACCACAATGAGAACCCATTACATACCCACCAAACTGGCAAAAATCAAAAGTCGGATAATACCATTGTTGGCAAGGCAGGAGCATTGGAAACACTCATCTGCTTTTGCAGGGGGGAGCGTGTAAACTGAAACTTTCACTTTGTAGTTTTTGTTTCATTGTGATTTTGGTATGTACGGTGTGTTCACACAATAATAAACATAGTATATTCATATAAGGGAATATTATCCAGCAATGCAAACATATTTAATTACACATGAATCTCACAAATACAATGTTAAGTGAAAGAAGAAAATTATGAATACATACAGTAGGATTCCATTCAGAAAAAAATTTTTAAATAGATCCAACTAACTAATATGTTCCCTAGAAATACATACATAGACAATTAAACTCTAACAAAAAGCAAGGGAATTATTATCATTAAAATCTAATCTAATGGTTACTGCTGGGAAGTGTGAGAAATATGTTCTAGAAGGAGACATTAAAGCTTGAAAGTTATTGGTAATATTCTATTTCTTAACCTGGATTTTAATTATGTGAGGTTCATTTTGTTATTCTTAACATTTAACATTCTTACATATGTTTCATTACTCATCTATGTTTATGATGTATTTCGTACACCTGCATACACATACACACTCTGAGCAAGGAGAGGTGGACAACCTCACTTACAACTGGGATTTACTTTTCTCTTCCCAGGACTATACAATCACGATGATTTTTCATCAGACCTGGAAAGATCCACGTTTAGCATACTATGAGACCAACCTGACCCTGACCCTGGACTATCGGATGCTTGAGAAGTTGTGGGTCCCCGACTGCTACTTTCTAAATAGCAAGGATGCTTTCGTGCATGACGTGACTGTGGAAAATCGCATGTTTCAGCTTCACCCAGATGGAACGGTGCGGTATGGCATCCGGTGAGTTTGCCCAGGGGCCTGGGGACCATCCCAGCAGGCTTCCTTCTTCCTATTGAGTATTCCAGGAATGCACTCTAAGGGACACACAGAGGAGCCCATTGCTTTCCAAATCTGTCTTGCACTGCCCCCTCACTCATCCTATCCAGTAGCTAAAGTGGAACCTTCAGAGTCCCACAGCCATCTTTGGCTATCCTGTCCCCACACCTTGGCTTCTGCTGCTGCTTCTGTGTGGAATGGCCCTTCTCCCCTTTCTAGGAGTCTAAACCTTGCCCATCCTTCAATCCCTAACTCAAATACCCCCTTTGTCAAGAAATTCTCCTTTATTCTCTCAACTAGAAGAGTGCTCCCTCCACCTTAGCATTATACATTTTGTTATTTATCTTTATGTCTTTTCTCTCCTGTCCAGTGAGGGAGAGAGACAGATGAATGCTGAAGCCCATGCAGTGAGGGAGGGGGACCAATCTCTGCCATTGGTCATATTTGCATAATGCAGAGGGCCTGAGGACGTGCAGTATGTGTCTGTTGTCTATGGCTCTGTACACACAGAATGTGTGCGTACTGGAACTCCTCACTGGTCTATTTATAGCATAGCAGACAGTCACCAAGGCTTTCCTCACAGTGTCATTTCTTACAAACCATCTCTGAAGACAAGCACGAGGGATAAACTTAGCTCAGAAAATTGCTCCAAGAGGTAGCTGCCAGTGTCCAGCTCTATCTCTGGGTCTCTTCTTCTCTGGGGTGCTCCTGCTCTGTCCCTTTGTTTCCCTTTTCTTTCCCTATCCACTTTTCCATGGTCCAAGGCGCTGGAGTCAGAGAACAACAAAGCTTGCAAGGAACAGGTTACTAGTCACACTTGTTTCATTAAAAGGGTCCTCAGCTGATTAATGCTGGATGGAAGATTCATAGAAGGGAGAAAAAGACACACACACACTCTCTCTCTCTCTACCTGCTGTACAAAATGGAAATCGCTTCAAGGGTTGAAAGAGACTAGGCCTGGGTTAGCAGCTGGGAAGGGCAGGATAAGGGATGGGACAGAGCCTCCCAGCTGGAGCTGCATAGAGCTTTTGTAACTATTCTTCTTTCACACTGGTCATTTCTCCCACTTCCCCAGCTCCTCCAAGACCCCTCCCCAGATTCCTCTCACAGACCCACCACATGGCAACTTGAAGCCCCTGCCCAACACTCCATGGTCCACCTCAGATATGTTAATCTCTCCAACCTATTTACACCCACTGGTGTTTGCTAGGCCCCAGTACCCTCATAGGAAGATATGCAGATGAGAGCACTGTGAGAGCAGCTGCCATGGCCAAAGATGGGCCTGGGCCCCTACACACGTCTGTACCTGCACATCGCATATGGGCACCCGTACCGAATCTGGAGTTTCAGCTGCTTCAGTGTAGCACAGATTCCTCTTGATGGTCTTGCTGCTTCTTCAGCATGAAAGTGCCTTTTCTATCTCTGCATTCAATTTCCTCAAGGGCCCTTCCTGTTCTGACACCCTGAGGTTTCCTGACATGTCATACATCTCTTCTCTACTTAAGTCTTGCCACATTACTAGGTTTCTTTGTCACATACAAATTTCCTCTCTCCTCTCCACACAACTCCAACTCATCTTTCCTCTAGGAAGGAAGGAAGGAAAGGGAGAGGACAAAGAAAGAAGAAAAGGAGAGAGGGAAAGAGGACTCAGCTCTAGTGTAGGCAGTATGGGAAGGTGGGTCAGTCCTTGGGGTACCTCACACCTCCCCACCCCTGCAGTTTTCTCAGGAAGGGTAGCTTGCCTGGGCTTGACTGGCTTTTCCCTTCCTTTTGCTTTTCCTTTGCAGACTCACCACCACAGCAGCTTGTTCCCTGAATCTACAAAAATTCCCTCTGGACAAGCAGACCTGCAAGCTGGAGGTGGAGAGCTGTACGTATGTCTCCTGTGGCTCCTTCTTCCCAACTTGGGGTTGTGGCCATCAGGAAACCAAAAGCAGACTTGACATTGAGAGGGATGGCATATCTGCCCTACTTCTTCCCTCTCCCCTTTCTCTCTCTCCTGGATAATAGATAGACAGACAAACAGGTATATACACGGCATCTGGGATAAGGTGGCCTTTAGGATGCAAATAGTCCCATAGGGAAATCATACCTTGCTATTGGGAAATTGTGCACAAGCTAGTGGGTAGGAGCACATCTCTTTGCTGTGCTTTCCTTCCTGGCTGAGAAACTCTAAACTGAGAGCTCTCTTTCTGAGTACTCCCTCCCCCATGCTCAGGCTCAGCAAAACACAAAGTAACCCCAAAAAGTACAGGTTCCAACCATCCTTTGGTTTCCACAGCCTGCTCTGGTGTGAAATCTGCCTCTGCCTGCCTTCTGAGATTGACTGACTCTGTTTTTCTCTCCCTCCCAGATGGCTACACGGTTGAAGACATTGTATTATACTGGGAAGGCAATGGGAATGCCATCCAGGGGACTGAGAAGCTGCAGATCCCTCAGTTCAGCTTCCTGGGGAAGACAATGACTAGCAAAGAGGTGTTTTTCTTCACAGGTGGGTCTGACCCCTTCCTTCTCTCCTGTCTCTTGTCCCCTTTGTACCCTTGTAAACTCCTGGGGACCTCTGACTTTGACCTCTACACTCTGCTGCCTCCTTTCCTATGTCCTTCTGGTTCTGGACACCTTCCAAAACCCCCTTCATAAAATTCCAATGGCTTACCCTCTGCAAATGAGGAAACGGGTTTAGAAGCACTCGGCCAAGTTTAACACCCCACAGGTGTAAAGTATTCATGCTCTTGTTGATAAAAACAGGCCTCCTCTCAGGGCCAGTCTCTCACACCAGTAATACCAGTATGTCTCCTTGCCAGGTTCCTATGTGCGCCTGATACTGAGGTTCCTGGTCCAGAGGGAAGTCACCAGCTATCTTGTGCAGATCTATTGGCCTACCATCCTCACCACTGTTGTCTCTTGGATATCGTTTTGGATGAACTATGAATCCTCTGCAGCCAGGGTGACAGTTGGTAGGTCCTGTCCCCATCCCAGGGAGGAACTTGGGTCATCTTCTCAGAAAAAAATTGAGAGCAAGGGAGGAGTACCTGGAGCAGTTTGTGACTGCACAGGCGAGGAAACAAGATAGAGCCTGCCCAAAAGGCATTTGTACAGGTGCTCTGCCAATACCCAAGAGATAGACCAACATCAGAGACAGGTGTGAAAAAAAATCAAGGCTGGGATTTTGGTATGTTGGGCCCAAAGTACTAGAATTCATTATTTGTTAGATATATAAATGAATGGACAAGTCATACATTTAGATCAGAAATATTTTAGGGCTTACAAAACCTTCCAAGGGATGTGATCTCATTTAGTAATGAGGGACTAAAGGAAAGCCTACGTACTGGAAGGTAAAGGGGGGAAGAGCTGTCACAGGGCAAAATAGAGCTTGAGACGTAAACCACTGTGAAACAATGGCTGCAGATTTGGGGCTTTATCTGAAGAGCAATAGGAAGTCACTGAACCAATGCAGCACAGGCTGGGTGTAAAGATAGGGGAAGAGGAGCAAAGAGAGCACTTGAGCAAAGGCCCCAGGCCTAGAGAGCCAAAGGCCTTTGGCTGAGGGCCCTCCCCACCCCAGAGATGGCCATCACTCCCTTCATGTGGGATGTGGGCCCAATAGCTTGCCAAGAACTTCAGTCACCTGAGGAGACTAACTTTGTGCCATGTTGTTTATAGGTCTGACTTCAATGCTCGTCCTGAATGCCATCAACTCACATCTGCGGGATAAACTCCCCCAAGTTTCTTGTATCAAGGCTATTGACATCTATATGGTTGTATGCCTCTTCTTCGTGTTCCTGTCCTTGCTGGAATACGTCCACATCAACTATCTTTTCTACAGCCGAAGACCCCGACGCCATCATAGGCGACGCAGGAGAGCCCGAAGAGTCATGGCCCGCTATCACTACCAGGAAATGAAGCGTCAGGTTTGGCTTTTTGACTGACAGTCAATTTCCCTGAGCACCTCTTAAGCCTAAGCTTAGCACTTCACCCTTTCACATTTTTAAGGTCCTCTAATTGTCACATACAACACACACACACACACACACACACACACATACACACACCAGATAACAAAGAAGTAAAACAATTTATCATCACTCCTTTTTAGGTTGAGTCATTTCCAAGGTCACAAGGCTAATAAGTGGCAGAGCTAGATTTCCCCAGACCTCTGGACTTCAAATCCAGTCCACTTAACATGCTTCCAAGGGCAGGTGATGCAGCCAGAGGGAAGAGGAGCACAGGGAGCTGAAAGGAAGACACAGACACCAGAGAGGTTGGCCTACCCCTCCTTCCTTTGCTCTTCCCACTTCCAAAGCCATGCTGAGGCTTTTGCTGCTGGAAGTACATTAATGTCCAGCAACCACCCTCCTTCACAGGGAGCCAAATCTTAACTACATGAGGAGGCCTTGCCTTCGTCCACCACTCAGTGCCCCAGAGAAAGCAGCTGCCCCAGGGAGATATAGGCTTGGCAGCCACCATGGACTTCCCTTGCATGCTAACAGCCTCTTGCTCCTGTTCCTCAGTACCTTGCACACCAGAGACCCGAGGAAGACATGACTCTCTCAGTGGAAGAGATGAAGAATCACATGAGAAGTGCTGATGAGGAAAACCCGCACCGTCTTCCCTCCCCATCAGTGTTTGTTCATGTAGGATCTGATCCTACCGACTTCAGGAATCTATCTACCGTCTCCTCAAAGGATGACCAGGTTAACATAGAAGATGAAAATGGCTCTCCTCCCTCCAGACCAGAGGAGGCCCACCTGGGAAGCCCAGAAAGCCTTGGGTCTTTGACCTCCCTCTCAGTGCAGGCCCCACTGGCCACCTCCGAAAGCCTCAGCTCACTGTCTTCTCTCTCAGTCCAGGCCTTGGTGGCTACTGGAGAAAGCCTGAGTGATCTCCCGGCCACCTCAGAGCAGCCCCTGCACAGCTATGGCATTCGCTTTAATGGTTTCAAGATTGATGACAGTATTATTCCTACCGAAATCCGCAACCGTGCTGAAGCCCATGGCCGTGCTGAGTCCCGTGACCCAGAAGACCCTGAGGAGAGCTCCAGCTCAGATGAGAACCACAGCCATGGCCCTAGTGGGAGGCATCTGCTTGTCCACGGCCGGAGGTATGTGCGAGAAGTACGCTCCAACCTTGATGAGATCCGTACCGTGCCTGATGACATCAAAGTTGAGAGTGGCTGCCTTGACCTCAAGCATGATGTTGCCAGTACCTGGAGCCTTAATGTTGATGATTTCATGGGCTTTGAGCAAGACAAGGACAGTAACTCCGAGTCTGATGACAGTTGCCCCCCGAGCCCTGGGTGCTCCTTCAGTGAAGGGTTCTCCTCCAAGCTCTTTCACCCTGACTATGTCCCTAAGGTAGACAAGTGGTCCCGGATCCTCTTCCCTCTTGCTTTTGTGGTATTCAACATTGTTTACTGGGCATACCATATCATTTAGTCCCGCAGTGCCCCAGAGTGGCAGGGACACTGAGCTCTACTCCTTTCACATTTCCTTTTGTTCTGTTTTGCCTTCTTTACTTTGTTTTATTTTGTCATTATGTGGGCAGTCAAATCAGTTCTACTTTTCTCTTTATAAACATGAGGTGGGAGTAGTTAGAAAGGATGTGTTTTGGCTAGAAGGAAAGAGATTGAAGGAGGAGTTGGAGGTAAATAGCACATTGATTTTCCTTTTCTGCTAAAAGGCTATCACCTTTTCAAAGACTTCTAACTGCTAAGAAGCATGGGAAATCCCCGGAAATGTTTAGAAGACAGAGAGGAGCCAGGTTGGGGAACAGAAGAAGGATCCACTCCCTGTATACAAACATTTCTGGGGGAGTTTCTGTCCCCCCGAGGTGTTGAATTTTCTTTTTCATTATTTTTTTTCTTCTGTTTTTTCCTCCTAGGGATTATGGTCCTTGCTCACTACCTGCTTAGGGTTCTACAGGAGAATATCAAGCTGGGTTTGGCTGGGGTGCACAGGGAAAGGGCTAGCCATGGCTTGTAAGTGCAGGGAGCTGGCTCTAGGGAACTTGGGGAATTTTGAAAGTGCCTTTTCTCCAGTGTTTTTTCTGTTGTGTTTTGAGTGTGGTGTTGTGGCATGGGGTTGGGAGTGGAATGTGGGAGGGTGGATAGGGGTGCTGAGTGGGATGTTAGGGTAAGTGAAAGAGCATGTTTCCAGCAGGAGCTCGCAGGGAGTGCATTATGTCGGGTTGGAGATTAGTCAGATTGAGCTGGCATCTTTGGAGGGATTGGAACTTCTCTTATCTATATTTCTGCTTCAGAATGCTTGACAAGAGGGACTCAATACCTCTGTCTAGGTCAGATACTGATTTGATCACCAGTCACAGAGCAAGCACTTGGTGAATGAAGACTAGGGTTAGGAAAGTTCTGACTTGATATTTCACTGTCTAATCCATAACAGCAGACAAAAAAAACTGTTGTGAATCTATATACTAATCCTCTCTATTTGTCTAGTGCATAGTAAGTATCAATGAGCTCACTGACCCATCACATCGTCGAAGCCTTGCGGGAGCCCTGTGAGCCAGGGAAGGCAAAGCACATCATTCCCAGTGTTCCGAGGGGAAAAAATAGAGGTTATGTACCATGTTTGAGGACATGCCACCTGTGAGTGGTGGAACCACCTCACTTGCTCATCTTCTTGTCCTCATAACTCTCTCAACCGAGGCGCTCCCCTTTCTCCCCTCCCCTTTACAAAAGGGGGTGCTCTATCAGATTCTGATTATCTGCCAGGCACCAGACCTCATTCTACAGCACCTGTAGCATCTCTGCAGGAAGAGGCTGGTGACCAGCCAATGAGTGTGAACCAAGCACATGGAACATGGGCACTGCCCACCCAGTAGGGCTCGTAAGGGAAATAGAAAGTAGCCTATGCTCCAACTTGCCAAGCAGTTCCACCTCATTGACAGAGGCTGTGAGGGAGCAAGATTTGCCAAGCACTCAGCCTATGTCCCTCCTTTCTCTCTAGGCAGCCTCTCCTACAGCCCCTCAGCCACCTACCCTTTTAACTGTGTTTCTGTGTTTGTGTTTCTGTGTATATTTGCATGTGTGTGTGCCTCAAGGTAGTTCTGTATGCACATACAACCATTTGAGAAGCTGTGTAGTTCTATGTATAGCGGTGTAAATCTATATTGGTGCATATAAGAGTATATATATAACAATGAATGAATGCATATATGTGTGTGCGCACCCCTATGAAAGAGTGTGTAAACTTGTGACTTACATATATGTGTGCTTGTGTGTACACACATGGGTTTATTCTGTGTGCGTGTATATAAGTGCATGTGTGCATGCCCATGTTTATTTCTCTGATTTGAATGAGTGTGAAAGGAAATACATATATTCCCTGTTGGTGGCTTTTCTAGAGCCACCAGAATTCCCTTGGCCTGTTCCCACATAAGGGGGACTCCTATTTGGCCAGGCTGGTTAACTGACTGTTTCTTTCCAATTCCCTGTTCCAGGGAGCAGTATCTCCGAGTCTCCATCCACTCCTCTTCTCCTCCCTCCACCCACCTGTGCTGTCTCCTACATAGAGGATGTAGAAGAAGTAACTGTAGTCCTAGGAAGTGATAATTTAGTGCCTTGAGGAAGGAAGTGCTCAATTGTGGGATAAGCTTGGAGTGCAGAGCATTTTGCTTTTTCCTGGAAAGATATGTTTTGGAGTAACAAAGATGGGGTGGGGGGAGGGAGAAGCCTTGAAGATGCATTGAGGACAGAAATATGATGTAGACAGTGGGGTGGGAGAGCTAAATAACTGGAGAGGGGGTTGTATATAGCCTTTATAACTCATCCCTTTATTCCACTCACCTTGTTAGCCTGACACGTGTTGGGGCTGGAGGCAGCCGCAAGCACGTGGGTGATGTGAGGAAATGGCCCAGGGGATTGGCTGCTAGCAGCTGGATGCAGAAAACCAAAGGTGCCTGGGAGATGGCTGCAGGCATGGACTGTGGTGGTGGGCCCATTCAGGGACAGGGGCGCTTTAGTATCCCATCCTGGGATGGTTGTTGGCTAAACTTCAGCCTTGGATTTCAGTCCAGAACACCCTCCTTCCACCCCCTTCAGGGAAAGAGAAAGTCAGAGGGGTGAGAAGGCTGACCAAAGACAGAACTACAAGGAGCCCCAGGGACTGACTGCCTAGTTCAGTCCAGCTTGTCACCTCTCTTCTTTTCTATACAGGTAGTATGCAAATATAGCCTCCTGCACATACATGCCACAGAGACCTACACAGTCACACATACATACATACACATGAGGACACTCACCCTCAGCAGTATATACATATACACACACAGACATGCACATTCACATACAGTCACACATATATTCCCATGCACAATCACATATGTTTACCTTCATATTGTCACACACACACACACATGCAAATCTCCTAAGACAGCTAAAATCAAGAAATTGTTGCTGGCATGTCTAAAATTGCCTCTTTCTTTTTGGACACCCCTCAAAGAGAGATCCAGGTTGAGGGGAGAGCAATGACCCCACATCTGAAGTTCCCATCGTGGGTATTGAAAGACTTGCTTCCTGGGGCCTAAACATTTGTTGGTTGATTTGGATTTGGGTTTTCAGGATCCTGGAGGGCCTTTAAGCCCTGAGGGAGGCAAGCAGTTCATTTGGGGTGAGGTCATACAGAGAGATTGGGCAGTGAGGACAAAAAAGGGGATTTTAAGATGTGTCTGGCAGCAATGCACAGGAAAGCTTCAGAGCACAGAGGAAGGGCAGAGAGGCCAGTTGTAAATATCTCCATAGATCCACATAGCTAGATATAATCTTATACCTTAAAGAGTACCTTGCCCTAATGTGCTGCAATAAGAGCAGTTGAGCTCTACTGCGACTTATACTGTGTGAGGTTAAGTGTCAAGGTGAGGTGGAGGTTTGGCAATTGCACCTTTTCAGAAATTTGAACCTTTTGGGTTTGCCATGGACTTGGTTTTTTTAGCCTGAAAATTGCCAGATCTCCACTTGTCATGTTCTCTGTGTGTTCTGTCGTCAGCATCGTCGTTGAGCCCCATTCCTAGCTGTCCCCAGCCAAAGAGGCACACCCTCCTCTAGCTGGCTGCCTACATCCCCTCCCACTCCTCACCTCACACCAAGTAAGTCTGGAAATGCAGAGCATCTAGCAGGGCCCTCCTGGGGTTAGGCCCATGGAGCCTTTTTCAGCCCCAGTCAATCGGAGAGTGCTTGTAGTGATAGACAATTTGGGGCTTGGGAAGAGGGAAGGGTCTTGCTGAGTCTGGGATGGAGCAACTCCCACTTTACTCCTCTACCCACCTTGCCTTTCTTTTCCTCACATGGGCTATCCAATTAACTTGCCCCCTAGAATCCCTTCTCCACCACTACCACAGGAAGGACACTCTCTGTCTCTCAAAAGTGTCACTTTCTTGTGGGGATATATGACACATTTCCTAGCAAGGTCTTGCCTGTTCCATCTGTCACTGTGGGGTGTCTTTGCAGAGATAATGGACGATCTGTTGGGTCTTACTGGAGCTTATCAAATGTGTTCTTACAATCTGTGTCATCTTGTTAATAGCAAGGCTACAAAATCTTTGCATATTTAGAGCAGAATTTTGCTGAGACTGTGGCCGTTCCTAATGAGGCTTCCTTATTCTGTACATAAAAGAGCTAACCCTTTGAGCTATTAACTGGTGAATGCATTTGCTAAGCTATCCACCTGCATGGTACCCTGCTGCAGTGATGAGCAGCAAAGGAAATCGTGACTTGTCCTACAGAAAGTGCAGTGTGTTTGTGTTTATTGTATACTGTCCTGTGATCAATAAGAAATCTGTACGATCAGTGTTGGGGTTTCAGGGTGGGGGGTGTTACAGTGTCTCCCTAATCTACTTCAATTATGAAATAGCCCCAGTTGATCAGGGTCACCTCTATTAACTCAACATGTGTGAGACCCTGCACCCACCATCTTACCAGACTGCATCTCTGAGGTCAGTAGTCATCAGCAGAACTAAAGGTGTCCGAGTGTAGCGCAGCCGGCCACGGTGCCTGATGTCCAGCAGTGCCAAAGAATTCTTCAGAGGGCAGCCAAGGCATGCCATTCTGGAGGCAGATGAAATATGGTAAAACCACACACACGCAGGTCTTCAGGAGTGGTGCTGGGCCCAGGCAGTGAGAGGAGGACCAAGACCCACGAGTCCTGGATGAACTGACCCACAAAGGGCTACAGAGCAGGAGAGAAACCCCCAAGATGACCCAATGCCGTCTTTGTCCTCATTAAATGTACATTTTTGCGTGAAAAAGACCTTGACCAGTCCTGACTTCAAAAAAGAAAAACATGAAGAAACATAAAATTATGCTTCTAAAAAATATGCTGAAATAAAGGTTTGTAAATAGCCAAAAGAAGAAAATAAATATATATAATGGCAAATATGCGTCTGCGTCACCGTGTTTCCTCTGTTTTGGATTGGGAGGGAGCTCCATCTGGGCCCAGGAAGCTTCTGGCTTCCATTGTTCACCTTTGCCTTCCCACAGCTTTGCACATCCACCTCATTCCCTGGAATATTTGAATCCAGAGGTTTCCAAGTAGAGGGGAGATAATAATGTTGCAGTTGAAATCAGGTTACACTTTTACACAAGCCATTCTAATCATTTGAAACAAAAATTTTAAAATATGGCAAGCCATTGTGGTGCCAAAATACTGTGTGGACATTTATTTCCATTTTGGAGGGGACAAGGTCTTTATAAAGAACATTTTTAAAAATCTCCTTTGCCAATGTGGATAGGCAGAATAGAGAGCAAGAAAACCCCGTGGGAGTGGGAAGAGGGCATGCTGAGGTTTTAAAAAGTTTGCAAAGTTACATTTAAATGTCCTGATGATGGTGCAGAGGGTCCCTGCTCTGGCCCATAATTGTCAGTGCACCCGCCTCCAAGAACCTTTTGACGAAAACCTTGGAGTTGCAACAGGAACCCTAACCTAATGGCTCCTCCTCTGTGGTCCCTTTTGTGCCCAAAGCAGGCCAGGAGAGCTGTGCATTCACACCCTGCAGGGGCTGCTTTGCTGACCTGCCCGTGGGGGTGGGGGCAGATGTTGGTATCCTCACTGGCAGATGCAGAAGGAAAAAATGCAGTTGTGGGTTGGGGGTAGTTTTCACAGTACACCTCGAGCCTGCCATTAGCTACTGAATTCTTTTCTGCTGGCTAAGTTTTTGCCAACAAGTCAGGTTCTGAAGGTGACCCGTGCCCCCAAGTGGAGCTTGTGGCACTTGAATGGTCCAACTGTCACTTGCTGCGCACCAATTATACAACTACCCTAAGGGATAAGATGAGAGAAGGGGCTGGCCGGCCCAGTGGCACAGCAGTTAAGTGCGCACATTCTGCTTCGGCGGCCTGGGGTTCGCCGGTTCGGATCCCGGGTGCGAACATGGCACCGTTTGGCTAAGCCATGCTGTGGTAGGCATCCCACATATAAAGTAGAGGAAGATGGGCACGGATGTTAGCTCAGGGCCAGTCTTCCTCAGCAAAAAGAGGAGGATTGGCAGTAGATGTTAGCTCAGGGCTAGTCTTCCTCGGAAAAAAAAAAGATGAAAGAAGGGGGATGTTGTCTCCCTCCCCCTTTATAGCTTCCCTAACTCTCAGGATGAAAGAGCCCTTGCCACAATCTCTCCAGGCTTTCAAAAAGACCTCTCTTCCCATCCTGGCCCAGCTTCCTCCGAGCCCTGGCAAAGCCTTCCAGGGGCCCCTCGATACTGCCATGGTACTGCTTACCCAGTCCAGGTATCCCAAGCTCTCCTCATCAGAATCGCAAGGAATTAGTTGGGTGTACAGGACTGAGGCAGGTTCATTTTATATTTTAATAACCTTAAGCTCATTTTTATACTGATATGTTTAAAAGTAATAAGGGGTAAGGACCTATTCATCATGGGACTCAAATGAGTTTCTGTCCAATGGTCTGGAAGCAGCTCAGGGACCACACAATGAGCAAGTACCAGACTTTGAACATGAACTCTTCCAATGGCCAGGCTAAGATTTGCAGCAGAATGCAGTTCTGCATCCTCAACTCTAGATTTCTAAATTTGAATTACAAATCAGCTTCTTAGATAGTCTCCCTTTAATATTGCATAAGGGATGGAGGTTAAAAATTTATTGGAGATAGTGGGCCCCAGCCTCCCCTTCTGTTTGGAATACTCTGTGTACCTTTGGGAAAGACCCTGTTCATTTGGAGGCCTCTTCCAGTCCTCTCCTTTCCCAACCTCTGACCAACTAGCCAGCACATTCTCACTCCAAGCCATGTGCAGTACTCAAAGCTCTTCCCATTAAGAAGATTTTCCCTTGCCGCTCTCTTCAAGACAACCCTCAAGTGCCATCCATTTTCAGCATGTACCCACATACTGAACCAGCCCATGCTTAAACCAGCCAGGGCCGAAAGGAACCCTATACAGTCATAAGTGCAAGTTGGGGAAGGCATGATGGTGCAACTGTAGTGGGTGATATGGGGGTCTGAGCTATCTACTCATTACTTGAGCCCTCTGGTCCTGCCTAGGCTGGGACAGGCCAGCACTATTATCCCTGCCATGCTGAATCATTAGATGGGAGCAGTCCAGGGGAAGTGTGGCCTCATTGCAAGTGCAGTTGGGGCTGGCAAGCAACTATGCCCCTCGCAATAGGTTCTCTTGCTGGAGGTCTGAGTGGCACACTTCCATAGTCACGACACAAACACATCTTTCTATTGCTAATGTTGGTCTACCTCTTTCAGCTTACAAGTTTGCACATACCCAAAAACCCTCTTCTGTTCCTGTGGTTGTGGTTTGGTATAGGCCAAGACTCCAGGACAGTCCCTATCCTGGCACTCTCTCTATAGAGAAATATATGGATGCTTTGCTAAGAGAGGTGAGACCCCCACCTTGCTCTCCAATGAATAGAAAGGACTCTGCCCCATCACACCACCAGACAATGGCTAAACATGTAATGCTTACTTTGTTGGAGGATAATCAGTCAGGAGAGATTAGGTGGGTGCTGCTGTGATGACAGTCCCAAAATCCTAGTGACCTAACCCCAAAACATCTTTATTTTCTTCTCAAACTGTGTATCCAATACAGGTCATCAGGGGAGCTTCTGCTTATTGTAGCCACTCAGAGACAAGCTCATAGAGGCTATCCCAACATGTGCTCCTCCAATCTTTGTAGCAAGGGGAAGGGAAAGTGGGGGGGGTCTCACACTAGTGATTAAATGCTACAGTAAGAAAGGACACATATCACTCACATTCAGAACTCATTAGCTAGAACTTATTGCCCAGCCAGCTATAAGGAGCCAGGACATTCAGTTTGCTAGGTGCCCAGGAGAGGTGAACCACACATCGTTGAGTGGTACTAACGACAACCATTGGGAGTTTCCCTTGATCTTTGCCAGAATGTTGCTTGCTCCTCTTCTCACTCAGAGGTACTCATGTATTCATGCCCTTCTTTTGTAGGAGTCTTCTTGTCTTTACCTTGGCACATGAGCCAGGAGCATACGTTAAAATTCCAAAATGCTGCCATTCATCAGTGAGTGTCTGCCATTCTTGAAGGAGGGCTTTCTGGGCTTTGGAGGAATTTTCACCCTCCCTATCTTCAGGACTCCAATTTGTCCTTCCAGCCACTCTGGGCCAATTACCACTCCCTTCTAAGGTAGTCACCACTGGCTGAAGGTCACACCTTCATGGCATGTGGATGTGGGTACAGTGTCCAGAAGGAGCTTCAAGCAGGCAGTCATTCCTCTCATCCCTTCTCCCCAGGAAAAGGAAAGACAGCCCCTTTGCTATTTTAAATGGGCTGCACTACCAAAATCCCAGAGGTCATGGAGACTGAGAGCTGAAACTCAACCCCTAGCTGTCTCCAGGTTTGGGAGAAGATTTTTCTTATGTGAGCTTTCCACCTTCACCACTGAGGATTTATACCGAATTCCATCTACAAGGAGAGGCTAACTGCACCTGAGATGCTAAAACCAAAACTGAGGAAGAAAGTAAACTCTACGATAGCTGACTTGGTCCTGGGCAAAGTGGACCTGGAGATGACCCAAGCCTTCAGGGAAGTCTCTGACAAAACTACAAGTAAACTTCTTTTGGAATCTCAGGGTTTCTGAATTCTTCTTAGAATTCAGTCAAGAGTGAGAGCAGCTGAAAGGAAGTATGTGAAGCAGAGATAGGGGTGTGTACAGTTCTGAGCTAGAAATTCCACATGGGTAGATGAGATTACCAAAATAGACTCCTTCCTGCAGGGCCCCCTCAGGTAATGACTTTGTGGCCCTATTTATGGGTGACCCTATTTTAATTCAGAGAATGAGACTGCTAGCCTGAAGCCTTTCCAATAAGGAGCCTCAAATCCCATTTTGATGGTGGAAGGACAACACATCCTTCCCAGACTAGTGATAGTCCATGTGCTAGAGGGGGAGGCCCTCCCACTGGCATCTCTGGAAGCTCCCCATTGTTAGGTGCCATCAAGTCAGCTCCAACTCCTGGCAACCCTATGAATGAGTAATGTCCACAATGTCCTATCCTCAACAGCCCTACTCAGCTTCTGTAGACTCAAGCCTATGGCTTCCTTTATTGGAATCAATATATCTCATATTTGGTCTTCCTCTTTCCATGCTGCTTTCTACTTTTCCCAACATTATTGTCTTTTCCAAAGAACCATGCTCAAAGCAGGGCAGCCTCAGTTTTGTTTTTTTTTTTGTTTTTTTTTTTTTGCCTCCAGCAAAGAAAGTGCAGGCTTAATTTGCTCTGGAACCTACTTGTTCATCTTTCTGGCAGTCCAGAGTATCCACAGAGCTCTCCTTCAAGAACATATTTCAAATGAATAAATTCTTTCACTGTCCACCTTTTGCACTCGAACATAGTAATTGGGAATATGAGGGTTTGGATAATCTTGGCTTTAGTCTCTAATGACACTTCCTTACACATGATGATTTTAATTCTTTCATTGCTGCCCTTTCAACATTCTCAGTTTTCTCTTGATTCCTTGACTGAAGTCTCTATTTAAATTGATGACTGAACCAAGGTAAACAAAATCTTTAACAATTTCAATGTCTTCACTGCCTACGTTAAAGTTGTGTAGTTCATCTGCAGTCATGATATTTTGAAAATCCCTGACCACTGTGGAACCATTCCATGATTCCTGTCCTTTCCCCATTTAGAGTTTGCCTGACCTCAGGAAAGAGAGAGACCCCTTCATTTCCCCGTTAAGTACCCCAAGCCCCAGTGGTGGGGGTCTACAGAAAGAGTTTTCTGCAAGACAACAGGATCTGCAGGACACCTTGACTGGAGTAAAAAGGAGAGAGAGGCCAGGGCCTCCAAGTCCTTTCTCCTAGTAAGAGCTCTCATCCAGGTGGAGAGGGAGGTAGGACTCTGCTCCAATCACATGTCCACAACCTAGC